AAATTAGGTAATCACGTGCCTTGTCTAGCGGTCATGTCAGGCGGTCAATAAATACGCACTAGTTATCAGTTTACAATCCATCATCTTTAATTTCTTTCCGAATTTCACAGGACTACAACTAGTTGTCAACTAGTCAGAATGGCTGCTTCTACCCCCCTTATCAACCAAGTCCAGTTCTCTGATGATGAATCCTCAAATGTACAGCTCTCAAATGACGGATTTGATGCTCAGGAAGTCTTCGAAATCAATGAGGTAAGAAATCATATACTAGTTGTGGACTAGTCACGTACTGGTAGCTAACTAGTACAAGACATTTGTTCCAAATGTCCTCTCAAATGGGAACCGACCTCTTATGACTGAAGTGGTTGAGGTCTCTACTGTTCTACCAGAGTACCCTCAGTCCCATGTAAGTGGATATACATATATCATACCATGTAATCCACAAAAGCCTTTGGATTATAGAGGTATAATGCGTGGGGTATGTATTGAACAAATAACTAGTATACTACTTGTCTACCACTGTTTGCTAACTAGTATAGGTTCAATATCCTGGTCGGTTTCGAACCAAGAATCATGCTACATGCCCCTACCTAGGTGTTGATGTGCAACGCTATCGATATGCTTGTTCAGGTGTTAAATTATGCTCAAATATACCTTCTGAGCTCAAGAACCTACATCATACAAAGGTAACAGAGGAGACCTGGGGTAGAATCCAGGAAGTACGGCGCCTCATTGAGATGGCAGGGGATGATGAGAGAAAAAGGAATGCATTAGGGTAAGTACTAGTCCCTAACTAGTTCCCAACTTTTTACTAATATAATTTTAGCATTTATATTGGTGAAAACCGGCTTTTCAAACAGAAAAAAGCATGTAGAGTACCAAATACTACATGTAAACCAGTCTTTGGCTGGTCTATAGAGCCAGTATGTATTGTCTAGTCTCCTACTACTACACAACTAGTCTTAGACTAGTAGATAACCAGTTATTAGAATATTGCAGGCATTTACCACCCTTACATTTGTTGTATTCATCGGAAACCATTGCAAGCTCATATACAGCCAGACCATTATTTCAAGAGTCTTAGCTTCCGGACTGACACTGATCTTGTATTACTTGGACAATATTTCAATCAAGCAGTCCAGCCAGACCTTACACAATGTGGAGCAATTGAAAGTACAGGAAGTCGGAAGGCAGAATGTAGTGAGTATACCAATATCCAACTGGTATTCAATCAGTCACTAGCCAGTTACTAACTAGTCAGATTCCTGTCTTCCACATGGTGAATTAATAAGTGAAAAATGTCAAGTTGCTTTCAATATTATCATTCCAGAAGATATTCAGAAGTGCCCTTACTTTTTATTTACTTCACATGGAATCCATACACACCCACCACCTCCTCCGACCAAGACACCTCTTGATATTCTTGAAGAATTACGACGGATTATTCAGGATATAAAAGATCCTGACATGACAACTGGTATTCTACTACTCCCTAACCAGTCAACAACTAGTCTCTAACCAGTTAGGTTCCTTTCTCTGCAACCCTCGGATCATTGAATATTGCAATGAAAGAAATGCTGAGAGCCTTTCTGGTCTTCATGCCACTCTTGTTACTCAAGATCGAATCAAGTCTTTGATTGACAAAGAAAAAATAGCTCTCTTCCCTAAAGGGCAAGAGGTAAATGGTTTGATATTTCAATGTCAAAGAGAGCCAAAGTTGAGGGTAATATTTCTAGCCCCCTACTAGTTCCCTACTCATTGCTCACTAGTTATTAACTAGGAATATGTTCAACACACCTTTCAGGATAATGAGAATACACTTATTATCCTTGCTCACCAAGCACAGTTTAAGCTATTACAATCTCTTAAGATGTTTGAAGTTGATATGAACTATAAACGGCTTAGGCGGAAGGATTTGAATGAGATTGTTTTTGCAGCATTTTTACCACTACATGGAAAAGGTGATCAATCTATACTAGTTGGATGCTAGTTGCTGACCAGTCTTGAACTAGTTGTGACTCTTTGTCGGGCCTTTACAAATCGCCAGGATGCTGATGGATATGAAGACCTATTTCAAAAGGTCTTTGAACTCATGGAAAAGCATACTAATCAGCCCATTTGCTTTCATTACTTACATGGAAGTGGATTTGAGAGTATTACATTAGATATGGATGAGGGTCAGATGTTAGGTAGGGCTTACTAGTCTCCAACTAGCTTCTAACTGATTGCTAACCAGTCTGTAACCAGGTCTTGGTCAGTATCTCTCTAGTATTGATCCTGAACGGAGACCTGCAAGATGGCATATTCCACATATTATGATCACCTGCCGTGTTCACTTTTTCCGAGGTATTGAAAAGGCTATTGGACAGAGGAAACGTGGTACAACTGCTTTTCAAACAATGGCCTCATTATTAAACTGTGAAACACAGCTGGATTATTATGAGATAATACAGCTTTTACAGGGTAAGTAGTTACTGACTAGTAGAGAGCCAGTTACTAACTAGTTGCTAGGATATGAAGATGAGGCTATTATGCATTGGGCAAGCCATAAAGCAGATCCATTAATTGCTGCAGGTTTAAATAAAACCTGCTCATCAATGGATTCTTCTTTTTTTGACAATGCAAGAATGCATACAAATGCAGGTGAGCAATCACATAATAAGATATATGTCTTTGGTGGAACCTGGCTTTCAATATTAAAGGCCGCACAATGGTAAGTACCAGTCATAGACTAGTTCAGGAACAGTTTCTAACTAGTCAATAGTGCACGTATTTGTGATGCAAGGGATATAGATCAATATAATGCAAGACAGGACCTTGGTATTCAACATAGCTATCAATCTGATTCTATTCCATCCCGGCATTCAAGGAAAAGCTTACAGGAAGGCAAGTATGGTAATAGTCTACTGGTTTATAACTAGTCACTGACCAGTACTAGAAAAGAAACGCCGGCGCAAGTTCTCAGAGTCAACTACATCAGATGGTCAACGAGATACTCAATATCCAAGACTTACTATTGAATCTGATGAAATGTCAGTAAGAGTCTCATCATCTGGCTCACCACAGCCACGGCGAACTCAATCAAGAGGGAGGGGTAGGTCTCAAAGAGGAAGTACACGGCAAAACTCTTCAAGGTAACTGGTTCCCAACTAGCCCTCTACTAGCTGCTAACTAGTCATAGTCCAGCAGCCCACATTGCAACTCATAATAGAGTTAATCAGAGTCTTGACCAACAAGAAAGACAGCTACGCCTTCGTTTATTACAGGCTCAAGTTGAACGTGTGGAGATTGAAAATAGGATGATGAGTCAAGGTGTATTTGTTCCCTCTCAGAACCAGTCTGCTACTAGTTCACAACTAGTACCAAACCATGCCTTTTTTCAATCTCCACGGCCCTCCTTCCATTCATTCTCACCATCTCCAGCACAATTTCCCCCTCCTAGATAGCTTAGAATAGATGACCTTTACCCAAATCTGTTAAATATCTTCATATTTTACTACAGATAAATATATATTTGTATAACTATATATATAT